GTTGAAAATATTTTAAAAAGCAAATTAATTTTTGGGGTGGGGGTGGGGATGGGGGGGCTGACCGGTGGGGGGAGGGTCAAGGATAAGGTGAAAAAATAAAATTTTGAAATTGAAAATATTTATTTAAATTGATATTTTTTCTTTAAAAAAATGTAATTTGAAATTGGAGGAGAATTATGGAAAATGTTTTCCTTAATTTTTGAAGGGAAGTGATTTTCCTTAATTTTGAGGAAAATGAGTTGATTTGGAAAACATTTTCCGAAACTTTTGTCCCAACAAACATGGGAAAATTGTAAAACATTTTTCAAAAAATGTTTTCCTTATACCAAACACACTCTTAATGAAAAATTGAGAGTAATGTTGAAAACATTTTAAACATGACAAGAATTTAGGGGTGAATTTTACTCAAATTGTAAAACTGGGTGATGTTTTTAAGTCTGTCCGTTCAGGAATGAAATAATAATTAATGCCTAGTCTACAAATGTTTTCAATATTTCATTCTTTAACTCAATTATTTTTATCCCTAATTATATAATAATGGTTTAATATTTTCTATTTATTGCGTTTTATAATTGCTATCTTGGTGATTTTTGTTTTTTCTTTAACAAAAAATTGTTGGCTTGGTTGATTTTTTATTAGTTAAATAGATAATTGTATCGTTATATAAATCGATTAATAAAAAATTATTAACATATTTAATATTAATTTAAGATATTTACAAATCAAAAACTGATTACTTAATGATAGCACCTAAATTCCCACTAAAATTAGAATAATAGGTATCTTAGTTTAGTGTTAATTAATGATCACTTTTGAAATATCTAAGGCGGCCTCTCCTATTTATATGTTTGATTACTTCATTTCTTTTTATAGACCTTTCCGTTATCAACACTCTTAAAACCTACGATGCCATAGAATATTTTAAAATGATTTTTTTGTTTCAAATTTGCGTTTCAACGTCATCTAAAACTTTTTAATTTTTCATTTGATATTCAAAGTTTGTATTTGAAGTCTGATAAAATTTAAATTGCACATTATGGAGCTTATCAGAAGGTGACACTTCCTACTGAATTTTCTCCATATCTAGAGCTTAACCCCAAATTTCTAGTCAAAGATGAAGTAATCACATAAAACTTAAAAGAAAAAAGTGTTCTTTATTTAGATTTTTTATACATATAAGAGGAGTAATTAGGAGTTAAATTTGAAATCTCAAATTATTATCCAACAATTGAATTTTTTTTTATTTTTAAAGAGCTTATTATTAGATTACAATAACGATTTATATATTTTATAAGTAATAATATATTTGAAAAGAACGAAACATACATAATTTATGTTCTCTGCAAAAAAAATATTTTTTTTTCAACTAACATACTTAGATCTATTACATATGCCAAATTTATTCTTATATTATCTCTTTTATTAATTTTATGATGCATCAACTTTAATACATCAAAAAAACATACTTAAGTTTGATCTAGCAAGTAATTGACCCAATGAGTTACAATTGAAACGACTATCACATCCACTTAAACAGTAAGCCCCACATTCTGATGTTAATCTTATTTTTGTCAATAATCTAATTTGTTTAACGAATTTTTCAAAGTTGCACCATCAATAATATTTACGTGTCATTCTAGTTATATCTTAGGTTTTGACTTTTGTTAATTATGTATAGGGAATATAATTAATTTTCTGCTTGAAAGTTTCTTTAATCATAGCATGCTGACTGCTATAAACAGTAACCAGACTATATTCTTACGTATGTGTCAAATTAATTAATTAGCTAGTGGTAATTCATATTTTAGCTATGAGGAGTGTAAGCTTGTGTTTAGATATTCAATATGAAGTATATGTTGAAGTAGAAAGAAACTGACGATTGGAACATGTCAAAGGAACAAGTCCAATGCAGTTGACAGATTTGTCTACAAGTGTTGATAATTCAATGATTGAGTTACATACTCCTTACATAGGAGAAGAGTCTTATACTAGCTATACTAGGAATCCTAATACAACACAAAATATAATATATATAACTTATCCTAGTCGTACAAAATATAGACTTATACATAAACTAGAATTGAGTAGTCTAGTCCTAGTGTAACTCAAACTCTAACTCGTTAGACAAATTCACATAACCTGTTCCTTTGACCTGTCCCATCAGCTTCTTTCAACACTTTCCCTCAAGCTAGTGAGTGGAGGAACTGTAACTCCTAGTTTGCGGCGAAACTCAACAAAAACCTGTTTGATCAATGTTTTTGTATGAATATCTGCTAGCTGATCCCTAGACCTCACAAATTGAGTAACAAGCTGTCCTCTAGCAACCTTCTCACGAACAAAATGATAGTCCATTTCAACATGTTCAGTTCTAGCATGCATAACTAGATTAACTGTCATGTACAAAGCACTCATGTTATCACAATACAATGTAGGTACAGATCGAAAAAATACCCCAAGATCATGAAGTAGATATACATGATCCATGTCATCTCGGATGCAGTGGAGGCAAGTGCTCTATACTTAGCTTCAGCACTTAAACGAGCAACTGTTGATTGTTTCTTGGAGGTCTAAGAAATACAGTTTGCACCTAGGTAGATGTTGTAGCCCGTAGTGGATCTCCTAGTGGCGATACAACCTCCCTAATCAGCATCGAAATACCCATACAACCTACATGGTGATTGTGAAATAAGTCTAAGTCCAAAGTGCAGACTGCATTTGATGTACCTGAGAATTCTTTTCACCCCTTGAAGATGTGCACTGTTCGAATTTTGCATAAATTGGCTTGCTAAATTCACAGCATAAGTAATATATTTACTCTTGTAAGAGTCAAATATTGAATACTCCCTACTATCATTATGTAAAAAGATGCTTCAACCATGTTTCTCACAACTTCATGTAGACCATGCTTCTGAGCTAAAGGAGTGGCTATAGCCTTTGCAAAAGTCATTTCAGTCTTGTCTAGCAGTTTAGCAACATACTTACTCTGGCTTAATGGATGCCCCCATCAAAATACTTAAACTCCACTCCAAGAAAGAAATGTAAATGACTAAGATCTATCATGGCAAACTTCTTCCCAAGTTGTAGGACCAACTTTGAGACATGAGATGGATTACTTCGTGTGACAATAATACCATCCACATATAACAATGAAAATATTTTGCCTTTGTGAGTTTTCAAAGTAAATAAGGAAGGACCACCCTTACTACAAATGAAATCAAGGTGTAAGAGATGCATGTTAAACCTATCAAACCAGGCTCTTGGTGCTTGTTTAAGACCATAAAATGCCTTTTTAAGTAGACATACATGCTGAGGATACTAGGGATCAATAAAAACCAGGAGGTTGACTCATGTACACCTCCTCTTAGAAGAAGCCATGAAGAAAGATATTTTTGACATCAAGTTATCTAACTTTCAACTTTGAACTGACAACAATGGATAGAACCACCCTAATAGTTGCTGCTTTAACCACAAGATTGAGTGTTTCTTCAAAATCTATCCCTTCAAGCTGCGAGAATTCCCTTGCCACAAGTCTGGCCTTGTATCTATCTACTGTTTTATCAGCTTTTAATTTTGTCTTGAACACCCATTTTGATCCAACCGAGTTCATACCAGGAGATTTGGGCATCAAAATTCATGTCTTGTTAGTATGTAAAGCAACAATCTCTTCTTGCATTGCTGCAAGCCAATGAGGTGATTTTAGTGTTTCCTTAGTAGTATTAGGTTCTCTCACATTTTCTGTGCTGCTGTGAGCAACAAGTGACAAGTGTTGTTCCTTCACCTTGTTCCTGATGATCATATGATGTCCTTGTGGTGTCATAAGTACCTTAACTGGTATTTCATCCAAGGTAGTAGAGTGGAGTGTAACATTGTCAAGTTGATGCTCAACTGATACATCAACTAAAGTGGTTGTGTGATGATGCTCATTGGCTGTACCTGTAAGAGCATCCTGTTCCTCACTACTGCTGGCTGATTCAAAATTGATAGCTGGATTTTCAAAACTAGTAGATGGATCATCAACCTCAACCCGTTCCTCGGCATGTGATTCTGCGCTTGAAAGGTTAAAAAATGATAAAAATTCACACATTTCAATGAATCATTCTACCAAAAACTATGTCAACGTCCTTACTTCACCAAATAATTTTCGCTTGCTCCATTAAACTTAAGCCAGCAAACTACCTCATAAAGAGGACACATATATCTCAATTGATTCATATCACAAAGAATGAACCAAGTAAAAGTAGTTGTTCCACTGGACAGACTGTTGGGAAGTTGTAGCAGCTTTGAAGGATGCAAAAGATAGTGACATTATTGATGATTGGAAGGAAAAAGATGTGTTACTAAGGAGTTGGATCTCAGACACCTTGACCGAAGAAAGCACACAACTAATTGTAGGCTGCTCAACTGCCAAGGAGATGTGATTTTTTTTTAAAAAAAACATATATTCAAAAAACAAAAGCAATTAATTTTGCTAGAGATTTAGATAAAGCACGATATCTAATTTTAATCAATTTAATGGTCTCACAAGCTTTGATATAAGGAAAGAGAAAAAAAAGTGTCACAACAAACCATAATATGGTATTATCTGCTCAATAGGCATAAGAAGAGGAAACAACAACATCAATATACCGAAACATTAACAAAACAAGTTTTTGCTGGGTATTAAAGTTTTTTTGCTAGATATTCAGAATCAACAACATCAACATACCGAAGCATTGACATAACAAGTTTTTGCTGGGTATTCAAAGTTTTTTTTGCTGGATGTTCAAAGCAAGCTAGGAGTAACCGTTCCTCTACTCACTAGCTTGAGCGAAAGTGTTGAAGAAGAAGGAAACTGACGATTGAACATGTCAAAGGAACAGGTCCAACGCAGTTGACTGACTTGTCTACAGCAAGTGTTGATGAAAAAGGAAGTTGAGGATTGAAGCATGTCGAAGGAACAGGTCCAACGAAGCTGACTGGCGAGTTACAACACAGCTGAAGAATTATAATCGCACTAGGATTAGACTACCTATGTTAATTAGGATTATATTTCGACTAGAATTAAATTATGATTAGAATTATATTATGATTAGGATTAGATTTCTATTAGAATTATAGCACAATTAGGATTTAATTATTTTATTATTATAGTAGTAATAAGTATTGTAGTATGACTCTAAGTATAGTTAACTTAGGACTCTACAATTCTCTTTAACATGAGGAGTATGTACTTAACATTATTATTCATCAATTCATCAATAATTGATCACATATCAATAAATCAATTGATCAATACAATTAATACAACAAATATTGATCAACATATCAATAATATCAATACATTACTATCAATACAATAAACTCTATCCTTAATTTTTCTAGTCCTAGACGTGAGATTTCTACAGTATAATAATAATAACTATCAGATTATTATTGGAGTAGTGTAAATTAGACATGCAAATGATGTAATATAGAGTTATGATTTTAAATCAGAATGCGATTTGAGGTTATGATTTGAAATAATGTCTAATTTTTATATAAAAAAAATACATGATTTGAAATCTCATGTTCAGTATAAAGAGATTGTTCGTACCAAGTGTAGATATTTAGATTTATGAAGGATTATTTACTCATGTGATAAGATTGTATGAGAACTCGAAAAATGATGATAATTTTCACAATTTATACACAAAATAGTACTTCAATTTTAATCAATATAATTTCAAATCATAATTGTATATCGCATGTTTAAACATAACCTAGTAAAAACTATTGGAGTTTTTCTTTAATTAAAGAAAATTATTGGATTTGGTGATTTTAGTAGACGTCTGGGCAATATTTAGTTAAAAATTGATAAATATTTCAAAATTGAAGATTTTTTTTCTTCATACATAAATAACTACCGAAATTTTCGTATTATTGAGAAAAAATAAAATAAAAATAAAAATTGATGTGAAACTTAAATTACATTCCATTTCAGTACTTTTGATCTGTTCAACGCTCTCACTTTTCATTCTTTTACCATCCCATCTCATAATCTTCGAACCTTGCTACCATTCCATACACAATGTTCTACTAGATAGTATATAAATTTTAAAATAATTTTCCTAATGGAGAAATAAATAACTCATAAGTAACATTCTAAATTTATTCCATTTTAGTATTTCTTTACCTCATTTTATATGTTTGACTTTCTTAATGGAGAAATAAATAACTGATAAGTAACATTCTAAATTTATTCCATTTTACTCTTTCTTTACCTCATTTTATATGTTGACTTTCATATTTCAAGAGTCAAATAAGTCTATTTTTGACAGTATATTTTTATAAAATTTTTAAATATTTTGAATTATCAATTATTATAACTTATAATACTTTTTATGTAATTGATAAATATATATAAATTTTATTTCAAAAAAATTTAAAAATTTATTGTGTAAATTTTTGACCAAACTTAAATTATTTAACTCTTAAAACATAAAATGTGTCATATAAATTAAATTGGGAAAGTAGAAAATAAGTTTGACTATCTTTTTTGTCACTCTAATCTGACCCTACATTCCTTTTTTTTTCCCCACTATTTCTCTATTTATATTTATGTATTTATAGTTTTTATTTTCTTCTTGTTCATCATTATCAATTGTTTTTCACTTTCTAATATTTAGCTTCCAATTTCCGTTTCATTTTCTCGTTGACTAACAACCCCACCACCCCTCTGCACCAAGCTAGGGTTTATTCAATTTTTTTTTCTCAAACTATAGAGAAAAACCTTCAAAAATAGAACTTTTATACTGATTTAAGGAAGAAGAAGAGGTTTCTTGATCAGTTGACATGGGTAATGACAGCTTTGTCCAGCTAATCAAGGCGTAAGTTTCTCTTCTCTGACCCCTTTACAGAGTTAGTATCTATTTTAAGCATATATCTGAATCTTGAAAAATAGGAAAAGGTCAGACTTTTTTGGGTTTTTTGTGAATTTTCAAGTGTTTGAGAAGGATAAAGATTCGTTCTTGGAAGTCTACAGAGAGAAACAATAATTGGGTGTTGAGTATTTTGTTGGGAATTTCACTGATTACTCAGATTTCTGTGCTTTTGGTTCATTTTGGGAATATGAGGAATTTTTTGTTTTTCCTGAAGCTGGAGCTGATTTGATTTGGGGATTATATACTGGTGTATATTGCTGTTACAGTTTCAAAGTTTGCAACTTTGTTTTGGTTCTTGCTTGGGTATCTCTTTTGAATTTGTTAGGATTGGAGACTGCTTTCTGTGAATTGTATTTCTGGGTTTTTGTTCAATGGTTGAGATTTCTGGAGGGTTTATTGCAGTGGTGTAAGTGCTAAGGTTTTGTGTTGTCTTTAAGCTTAAAAGACTTTGTTTCGGTTGATGTTCATTGATGGTTTGACGAAGAGGAGCTATTCTAGGTAAAACAACTGTAGAGAAGTATTCAAATGGATAATCCAGATCGTCCTAACAATCGAAGTCTTGATTATTTAGGTGTGAATAAATTGGGGAAGAATATAAAGAAAAGTCCTATACACCAACCCAATTTCAATAATGCAAATAGTGCGAGACAACAAGCTCAACCCCAAATTTATAATATCAACAAAAATGATTTTCGGAGTATTGTTCAGCAGTTGACTGGTTCGCCATCTCAAGAACCTCAACCTAGACCTCCTCATAATCCACCAAAGCCTCCAAGTATGAGATTGCAAAGAATTCGACCTCCCCCGTTGGCACCAATTAATCGCCCCCGAATTCCCATGCACCCTCCAGCACCAATGCCAGTCCCAAGTCAACCGGCAGGTCCTGCACCTGGTGTTGCATTCAATAACAATTTTGTGAGACCTCCTCCTCAGTATGGTCAGCCATCTCCTCCCATGTTACCACCCGTTAACCCTGGTGATGCTTGGGCTAATACAGCAGAGTCTCCAATCTCAGCTTACATGCGTTACCTTCAAAATTCGATAATGGATCCAGGGGCTACACAAACACAACTTCAAGGTCCTGCTCATACTCAAGCACATCCTCCATCCTCCGGCTTTCTTCCTAATCCTTCAATGGCACTACTTCCCTCTCCTAGAATGAATGGCCCGCCACCACTTCCTTCTCCTAGAATGAATGGCCCCCCGCCACCACTTCCTTCTCCTAGAATGAATGGCCCGCCTCTCCTCCCATCGCCTAGAATGAATGGCCTGCCTCTCCTCCCATTGCCTAGAACAAATGGTCCACCTTCTCTCCCACCCCTTCGAATGAATGGCCCACATCCTCCTTTCCCATCTCCTAGGATGAATGGTCCGCCTCCTCCTCTTCCATCTCCGGGAATAAATGGGCCAACTTTTTTGCCTTCACCCACTTCTCAGTTCCTTTTGCAATCACCCACTGGCTTCTTCAACATGTTATCCCCTCGATCACCTTATCCATTGCTTTCTCCTGGTGTGCAGCGACCTCCACCATTGACTCCGAATTTCTCCTTCTCTCACATGGCTCAGCCTGGAATTTTAGGCCCTGGACCACAACTTCCCCCATCTCCTGGTTATGGATTTCCTTTGTCGCCGTCAGGATTATTTCCTATAACAAGTCCAAGATGGAGGGATCAGTAGTGTTAAGTAAAGTGCTGATTTTGGAAAGCTCCAGTGACTGGTATTGGTTTGAGGAATTTCGTGGTGAAAATCTTCTCCAAATTGAATCTTTATACTTGTTGAGATACAATGTACCCTAGCAAAACGTAAGAGATCTCTTTAGTGATTCGCATTTAGTTTGTTTTTTTAAAATATTATTTTATTCACATACATTGCCATCTTATCTTAGCTCTTTGTGAGTAGAGTCGGTAGCTGATTCATCTCTTTATTCCCTTAGAACATTAGGCAATGTAGTTAATTAGGCAACTCAAAAAGGGCTGTAACTTGTTAGATGTTGTTTAAAGTGATCTATATGTAAGGATAAATGCAGGAAAGATTCTTGTACTGTCATATTTGGAATCAAATACTTCGAATTTTCTTCATTTCTTCGCCTTTAATGTGCACAAGTTTTCGTGTTATGATTCCATATTTTGCGCGATTTTATCAATCTTTGCCACCCTACAAATTCTGTGCAATGTTTATTCATCTTTCATGCATGGGTTTGTTTCAAACCTGGTGTGCTACGAAACTCTCAGTGCTTACTTTTCTATACAGAGGGGGAAGGAGGAAGGGACAACGTAGAGTGGGAAGGCGAGAGAAGGGAGGCCTGGCTGGATATAATATTTAATAGCAAGTTTGGTGTGGAAGTGTGTTTTGTCATCTTGTTTGCTATTTGAGTCATTGCCAGAAGTTTGACAAACAATGTTAAATGGCAAACCTAATTTGGAAGTTGTTCTATTGAATCTGAAGTTTCTCGGTCCTGGTAAATATTTCCTCCATAATCTGAAAATTTTGAGCTTCTTAGTCAGTTCCATGAAGAATCCCCTGTCAATTGTCAAGGGAGAGGAGAAATAGATCCACTTTTAGAATCTCCCAACTCCTAATATTATATGAGGCAAAGGTTAAAGGTCAAAGGGTGACAAGACGACGAAATGAGAACATAGACATGGTCAGGTAGCCTTGGTACCTCAAAGCATATGGCTCGACTTCAGTGCTGCAGTAAGCTGGGTCTTATTAATAGGTGATATTCTTTAGTGTTCAGTTTCATTAGAACATAGAGAACTATTTACACGGTATTAGACTAGCCTTCTTTTTTTTTATAGCAGAACATTAGGTTTCTTGTTTTGGTTCACTTTGGCAATGATTTTTCATGTTTCCATCTTATTATCAGTTCCTAAACACTCAAATTCTTGTATTATCATTGAGTACGTATCTGTGTTGTACCGGTAGTTGGTGAAGCAACATGTATATGGCGGTTGAATATTCACCCTTCTAGACAAGCCTAAGAGTTAAGATATGCTAACTAAAATAATTGAATGTCATAAATGGTTGCACTTTGGAAGTTATTAGGGAGCTCATTTGTATCATTCCTGGCAAATGGAAGTTGGTCAATAGGTCGAAGCCGATAGAGGGTTTGAAATGAATTATGCCCTTGATTTTTTATATGCACAAGAGTATCAGGCAGTGCCTCTACAATTCTGCTAGAGGTAATATCTGTGCTACAATTAGTTTGGAGAAGTTAGGGTGAAAGCCAACGATCCTTTACATTTAATCGGAAATCTCTGAAATGCTTACATCTTAAGAAAAACTACTTCCAGAGTGCAATAAAATAGTTGATAGCTAATCTGATAGGGTGATAACTTCATTTGAGGGAGCTTATGATTGGTCATCCTTGCAAGTACCTTTCTGATCATTCCTTTGAATTTTGAAAGTTTATTGTATTCACTCCTATAAATGCCTTCTACCTCTTATCTCTTTCTATTTTTTTGGAAGAATAAAAGTTTGAGAGATGTGCAAGGTGTAGTGATCTTAAATGGTGTTTGTCGACTAAAAGAAATGGAAGTATTTTTATGGAATCTCAACTCTAAATCACTCATATTTGCTTCATTTATTTTGTTGGACAAACTTTACCCCTGTAGTTAGTATTTTGGACTTTGTTAGCTCCTTACTCTTAGCATGATCTTGTTTTAATGGAGCTAATATTTCTTCTTTTGTAACCTACCTTGCGTCTCCTTGATGCCTTCCTAGTGACTACCTTACTTCATTCAAAAGAGGTGTAGTGATCAGCGGTTGGGCTGGGGAGCCTTAGAACAACAGTTAAGTTGTCTCTATGTAACCTATATGTCACTTCGATATGTGGAATCAACCATTCATGCTTGCATCAGGGTATGTTGCCTACACCACACCGCCCCCCACCCCAACCCACCCCCTTTGTTGCGGCCCTTCCCCGGATCTCATGAGAATGCATGATGCTTCGTGCACTGGGGCTGCTCTTTGGTGATCAGTGGTTGGGGCCATTATCATCTCTTTTGAGAACCCAATGTCGCTAAATTTGGTTATGGAATCAGTTCAATATTTTCTGTTTTCTGATTATTTGTAGTTGATTCTATAGTTTCGGGAAGTCCTCTGGCTGTATAGTGAATTTATAATTAGTATTTACTACTCCATGACATGCAACATCATAGAAAGTGTAATCCCACTAGTGGGATGCAGGGAGGGTAGTGTGCACGAAGCCTTACCCTTACCTTGAGAAGGTAGAGAGGTTGTTTATGACATGCTTAGTTACAAATATTATCACACAGGCATGAACCTTCTAGGGCTGTGTATCAACTCATTTTAGTTTGCATAGGATTCTTATTGCAGTTCATTATTCATGGGATAAGATTGGTGGGTATTAAACTGCTGCCTGTGTCTAGCCACCTGAACATTTCTCATCTCTTGGCTTCTCTTGGCTCTTGGTTTATTTCAGCAGTCTTTGCTGCATTGTGTCTTTCATGTAAAAACTGTAACTCATAACCAAAGAAGCTGTTTCTGGTCGCAGGAAACTGAGGTTGCATTACCACAGCTTCATGGGCGAGAGTTCGTATTTGATTATTCATATTCTTCTAGTTTTGTGTTGCTCATAAAGTCAGTTGTAACTCTCCAATGTAGTGCCTTTGTACTTGCATGCTTTCCCTTTAAAATTAGAAATCTGTGTGCAAACCTTACTCCTATCACAATCTTGTGAGATAGATAGGTTGCTTTCAATAGACCCTCGGCTCAAGAACATCGTATCAAAGCTTAGAACTTGTATAGTTCATCGAATTAACTTCTTGAAAGTTGTATAGAGTTTGAATGCTGTTGCTCTTCTATATTGAGACAGAGAGTTGCTGTTTAGAGATATCACTTCTTCCTTGGTTTTAGGTCATAAAATTGCTATGGTAGTTAAGTAAGTCAATGTGCTTTTGCCTACTTGCACAGCTAGCGATAGGAATATACAGTCAACCTGTTATGAATGATTTACTCGTTTTGATATAGAAACTACTTGATGTGATATTTTCTTCATTGAAATTGCTATGAATTTTTTCAAATTTGGAATACTTTATGTGGTAAGTTGACTCGGGTAATCAAATTGCTGTATGTCTGTTGAGTCTATTTTGAATACAGAAGCATCAAACCTTAAAAGGAGGACCAAATAGTTACTACAACATGTGTTCCATGAACCATTGTATTAATGGAGCCATGGACTATTTATTCAACAAATTAAAAGGAAAGATGAAAAGAGTGTCGGTGGGAGTGAAGATGAGGTGTGTCAAAAGGATAGAGAACGAAGTCATTCCAAACTTGTTTTTCTGATGTTGGCTCCGAACACCGGGTGGGGAAAAAAAAGACAATATGAAAGGATGGATCATTCATGATATTTGTGTTGGAACTTGAAATCTTCATATCTTTTTAGAACTATTACTTGCATATATTATATTATTACTACTTGTTAAGTGTTTATTAACTAGTATATTTAAACATTTTTCCATTGCACAAATTATAGAACTTTCATTGCGGATTGCACTATATATACTACTGGTGATGTCCAGTTAGCTTGCAAATAAAGTAGTGTTCGAATCATACTCGCTCCGTCCGGATTTATTTGTCATGGTTTTTATTTTAGAGTTAAACCATAAAAATTGACTAATATTTTAAGATGTAATTTTTCATAATATTAATATGCAAAAAATTGCAATTTATAGTACTTTTCATATAGTTTTAGAATATCTAATTTTTTTGTTTAGAATATCGAATTAATGTGATATAATTTAACTTTGAAAATTAGTCATTAATTTTCGAAAAACGCAATATGACAAGTAATTTTGAACGGGGGAAGTATTACATTTTGATTAATTTTATATATACATGTCTTCTATAGTTTTGTTTTATATGTGAGGTTTATGTCTACGTAACATAAGTGATTTCTTATTACCAAAATTGAGGGGAAAAAAAACTTTTGGTTTTATTTGGTGTGAGATGGACTAATTAAATTATGAGAAGGGGCACACAATTCAAAACATATATATTTTTGCTCCTCAGTACTTTTAATCTTCACTGTGCTTTGTCAGTCTTCAGCATGGGCCTTTAATTTGGACACCTATTTGATGAGCTACTTTTATGGTTTCGTTTAAAAAATTTTTTACTCGAAATCAAATTTAATAAATATTTTTAAATTTATATTGCTTTGATAGACTGGTTATTTTAAGACTCATCAATATGATGGGCTAGCCAGTCAGAATCGTCAATTTCAAAGACTATGTGAGCTCCAAATGGGTCGGATCGATCCATATTGAGGCATAATCGCATTTTTGATCCGTCAATTATAGATAATTGATTAAAAAATGTTGGTCCTTATAATAAAGTACATTTAACCTTTAACCTTTAACTAATTGATACGTATGTTTTTAGTTTCTTTACGTAGGAAAAAGCAGGGGTGATTCAACAGTGTTAAAAAAAAAGATATGTGTCTTAGGCTTTCAAATTTAAGGGGTTTTATTTTTAATAATAATAGGTTATAAAAATTTTTTTTTACACAAATATTGAATACTATTTGTAGAAAAAGTAAACTTTTCATGAAAATGAAGGAATTATTAGAAGAAATTTGACATATTTGGAATAGTATATCTCATGAAAAATAATCTAAAATAAGAATGGTTATATTATCAATTGAAAACCAGAACAAATCAATTATATAAAAGTTATTAATTTAAGGCTCTGTTTGATTTTTTCTTTAGGTCACTAATATGCTTGAGCTGCTCCTAGAAAAATGTGGTATACTTTGGATTATTTTTACTATTATTAAATATGAAGTAATAATATAAGTTTAATAAAACATATATGATTACGTAGTGAACTGATTGATAATCATAATAAATTGCAAAACTTAATAGTACACGTTTCAATTAGTTGAAGGTCAAATATATTTAATTAAACGCCATAAAATTAAAGCAAAAAAACCTTATCAATGGCTAAGGAGTAAAAAATGTTATCATCAAAAATTGTGTTTGTAGTAATTTTCCCTTTTAAATTCTAGTTCATGCAAAATTTTCTATTTGTGCTTAAACCATGAGTTTGAATGAGGAAGTCGCAACTTACCTAGTAAAGAAATTTAATGAAATTAGAGATGGGGAGTAGTGTTTGAAAAGATAGAGATAGAAAGAGAGTATATAATATTTGTTAGACGACAAAAATATATATAAAATATTTATTAAACAATAAAAATGTATATGCATTATTTGTTAGTTAACGAGAGTGTATATGCACTATTTTGTTTTTTTAACAAGAATGTTTTAACAAAAACAATATTTTAGTTAATATAACATAATTAATAATTATTTTTGTACTAATACTATTTCGTGTATATATATATACTTTGATAATTTTAGATTTTTATATATTACCAAATACTATATCTAATTAACAAAAATTCTTAAAATCCATACCATAATATTATAATTGTGGATTTGTGGTATCAATTTTCATTTTATTTCAATATGATAAATTTAATGTCTATAGTGCTCTCTCCATTCAATATTGTTTGTCATGATTTTTATTTTTAGAGTCAAACTATAAAAATTTTGACTAACATTTAACGATGTGTTTTTTCATTATATTAATATGTAAAAAATTGCAATTTGTTGTACGCTTCATATAGTTTTAGAATATCTCATTTTTTCTTTAAAATATCAAATTAACGTAATCTAATTTAACTTTAAAAACTAATCAAATTGACTTTTACTTACTTTCGGACCTATATATTGACATATCTTTAGTTTCAGCTTTAAATGAAACATGTAGGTTTAAAATTAAACGATTAAAAGATACTTCGATACATTTGACACATGCAATTAATTTAAAATCACAAAATTTAAAATTATTTTTTATTTTAAAAGTTTTGTATCTAGTGGAATTTTTTATTTTTGGGTAT